ACTGGGCTCCCACATGGCTGACTGCAGTTCAAGTTCTGGATCCGATGGCTTGAAACTCATGCTGGGTGTGTGTGTGTGTGTGTGTGTGTGTGGGCGTGCATGTCCAGGATCCCAGAAGGAGAATGGAAGAGAAGGGATTGTGGCATGGCCATCCCCCATGGGTGATAGCTCACTTTCCCTCTCATTGTCTGTTTCTCTCTCTGGTGAGTGCACATACCCTAAGGCAAATATCTCTACTAAATAAATAAATAAATAAATAAATATTAAAAAGAGGCTAGAAGTGCCTATTTAAGGACTAATAAATATGCTTTGCTGTGATTTTTCTCAACCAGTTCCTTCTGCTATCTACATTCTATTCTCATAAAACCAACAAAAGTCTTCCCATAACTTAATGGTAGCCATGCTCCAAATATTCTGTTCTACCATAGAACTGTGTGGATTTTTCCCCCATGAGACCCTTTTATTACCTTTATTTTTATTTCTAAATTGAAACATAGGTTCTTGTTCCAGAGCTCTATGGCTGGTGTCACCAACACAAAACTGAGGGGCATATTTCTGTGATCTGTACAGCACAGAGCTACCAGAGCAGTGAATTTATTCATCAATTCAAAAGTGTTTACTTTTTAAAATTAAAACAATGATTAGAGTCACACTGTATAGCAGTAAAATGTAGACACATTCTCTTTTCTTTTCTTTTTTTTTTTTAAAGTTTAATAAAGGTGCTCAGGGCCAGCAGGCAGCATGGTGGTTGAGGTGTAGGACTCACACTGGCCAACTCCAGTGTTCGAGTCCTGGACCTGGTGCTTGAAAACATGCTGAGTACATGGTGGTGCATGTCTGGAATCCAGAGAAGAGAATGGAGGACTAAGGACTGAAGGATTGCCCATCTCTCCACCCTCTCTGTATGTGTTTGTGTAAGTGTGTGTGTGGGTGATTGCTCATTATTCTCCCTCTCATTCTCTTTCTCTTTCTCTCTGTCTCTCTCTCTCTAGCAAGTGCACATGCCCTATGGCAAAAATGTAAAAAAAAAAAAATACAAAAAACAAAAAAGAGAGAGATACAGTCTCCCTCAACAGGGTCTCATCATGCCACAATCCTGCTGCCTCCCTCTCCAGCCAGCAGGATCACAGGTGGATGCATCTTGGGATATTTCTGGTCAACCTGGGTCAGCACCTCAGTCTTTGACATGGTTCCAGCTTGGCAGAAGGGTGCCCTATTGCGTGTACCTCTGTGTCTGGGCCCGCTTTCTCTCTTTTCCTCTACTCCCACATGTTTTCTAAGGTATAACCTGGGCTATAAAGAGCAGTCCGGAACCACCACAGGGAGGAGAGCACACTTGACAAGAAACCCTGAGAAAAAGAATATTTATGGTTGGCAGAAGAGCATTCGAAAGAAAATTTCTTCAATTAGGTGCTGGATAATTGGAATTTGGAATGGTGTCAGTATCACCAGCATTTTCTAATTAACAGAGTCATTTATAAAACAACATAAACATTTTAGCTGTAAAGAAAATAAAGATAGGTACTTAGGAAAGTTACCTAGATTTTGTCTTCTTATGAAAATACATATATCATCTCTTCCTTCAACCAATACTAATTAGAATGCTGCTTTATATCAGGACGGTCTAGGCTCTGGCTATCGCTGGTGAAGGAAGTATTCTAACTGCTGCCGTATAATAACATTCACTTTATTATAGTCGTATTTACAATTAAGGAATCCCAGAAAGGCTGTCTCAGGGGCTGGATGGCAGGCAGTAGTAGCAGCACGGTGAGGCCACCCCACATGGGAAGGTCCTGGGTTTGTGTGCAAAGACCTCCCTGTGCAAGCTTGGAATGCCAGTGCCTATGGCCGAGGGCTGGCGGAACCTGAGGGTGTATCCCTCCCTCTCTCTCCGTCTCTCCTTGTATTTATCTCTCTGCGTCTCTCTGGCTCATACAATAAATAAATAAATAAATAAATCTTAAAACAAAGCAAAAGAAATAAAAGACTCCCTCAAATCCTTCTGAACCTGAAGAGTTTAGTGGATGAACCAAGCCCCCCACGCCTCAAACACACTCTGACTAACGGTTTGAGGATGTGAATGCTTGCCCCTGCTTCCATCCAGACGACACAGGGTTTCTGAAGCACCAATCCTCTTTGCCTCTACATTTTTCTACGTCCCAGTTGTCCTTTTTTCAATGTAATTATGTGAGTCAATTACATGTAAGTATAAGAGAGAACTATAGATTCTATAAAGCGGGTTGAAATGCTTTAGAGAGACTCAATGAGGATGAGTCACTAAGCCACAATGTTTAAAAAAATTATTTTATTTAACTTTATTAACTTATTTAAATTTGACCAGAGAGGGACAGAAAAAAGAGAAAAAGTGAGCAAGCCAGCCACCAAGTCCAGGACTGAAGCAGCAGTCAGCCACGTGGGAGTCCAGCGCCCTCAGCTACAGCACCACCTGCTGGTCACAGAACACCTTTGCTTTTAAAATTAGCACAAGCACAACAAAGGTGCACCTCTGCTCTCTGTAGCTGGAGATGAGGGTGCCTTCTGCATGTTTGTGATGTTGTGTGTGGGGTGGCCGAGCCTTAAAAGGTACAGTGGAGGGACCAGCACTTAGCGTAATGGCTATGTCACTGAACTCCCATGTAGTTGACTGCAGTTCGAGTCTCGGACCCAGTGGCTTACACTCATGCCAGGCGTGTGTGCGTCCATACCCAAAATCCCGAGAGGAGAAGGGATTGCGGCGTGGTCATCCCCCCCGGGGGGTGATTTCTCACTTTCTATCTCTCTGTTTCTCTCTGTCTTTCTGGTGAGCACATGTGCCCTATAGTTCTGGGAGGAAAATGGGCCCTAAAAAAAAAAAAAAAAAAAAAAGGTACAGTGGAGTTTCTACAGTGATTATAGAAATATGATTCCTTCTGCAAATTAATTTTGGATAAATATCCTAAACCATAAAACGTAATAGGACCAACAGGTGGATTGGTGGTTAAAACACTGGACTCCCACATGGTCAACCACAGTTCAAGTCCTGAACCTAGTGGCTTGCTTTCTCACTTTCCCTGTGTCTCTCTCTCTCTCTCTCTGTCTGTCTCTCTCTGTCTCTCTCTGGTGAGCACATGTGTCATATAGCAAATTAAAAATCAATGAATAAAGTGAAATAAATGATTCTTAAAAAAATTAGAATTATTCTTCACATTCTCGGATTCACAAAAAAAATGAAGAAGGTCTCCATGTCTTTATGCCTCGTGAATGAATTCATGATGTAAATATTTTGGTTAAAAGAATGGTTTAGCAGCTGCTGGTAGGACTAAGTGAAAGAAAAGAAACTGCCTGTAACAAGGCCTGCATGGCCCTCCTTTTCTTCCTTCCTGTAAGTGATTGGAGGCTTTTCTCTGTTCCTGCTGTGCTCCAGTGAGCCGATCTGATCTCCAAGTCATTATCACCTCTCGTGCCTGAATGACGGGGCTACATACAAATAGAACTTGTAGTGTAATTCTACACTTGTATTAACCCTCATTCCTCTGCATTTTATTTAAGAGTAATGGTGCAGAGAGGCCCAAAAATAATATTAGACTCTAGTAGCTTGCCTGAAAATTACCATCCATTTCCTCGTAGCCTGCATTTTCTTGGCTGTCACTCCCGTGGGCTTACAGAGACTCCAGCTCATGCACCGCGCTCCACCACTGATGCATTGCAGAGCTTCAGTACGTAGAGGCGGGGTGGCCTCATGTGATTATGAACAGTTCCCATCTCCTAATACATGATTTCTTTTTTAAAAAGAATGATTTTATTTAGCTTTATCTATTTATTTATTTTAATTTGACCAGAGAGGGATAGAGAGAAAGAGAGAGAGCGAAAAGGCAAGCCATCAAGTCCGGGACTCGAACCACAGTCGACCATATGGCAGTCCAGCACCCTTAACCACCATGCCACCTGCCGGCCCCATAATACATGATTTCTACAGTGTCTTTCTCAGAGCCTGCTGAGGCGGTCTTCTCCCAGGCACCCTTTTGTTCCTGGGCACCAATCCTGTCTGTTAGTTCACTTCCCAAAACGTACTGCCCAGGTGCCATTGAAAATGTTGGGAAAAAAGAATATATAGGGACCAGCAGTTGGCATAATGGCTATGTTGCTGGACTCCCATGTAGTCGACCACGGTTTGAGTCCCGGACCCGGTGGCTTAAACTCACGCTGGGCGCATGTGCATGCGTGCCCAAGATCCCGAGAGGAGAATGAAGGAGAAAAAAAAGAAATGGGTTGTTTTTACCTGGCAATGATTACCACAGTGGCATCAGATATACTTTTCTAGAACCCAGTTGTACCAGTCAGTCTGGAATTTCCATGACATGATTGAGTAAGATGTTTAACAAAGCTTAAACAAAAACTGTGATAGGAGTCCCAATTTCCTTCATTAAGTTCAAAAGGACTTGTCCCTAGTGACTGTCAGCCTGAAGTGTTGGGTGAATGTGGGCTCCCAGAGTCTGTCTTATGGAAGTCCCAGTTGGGTTCAGTGTCATGGTACTCTGCCTGCTGAGACTGCAGTTGTGTGACGTTACAAACAGCCTCAGTGCAGAGCTTACTAAACCTCTTCTATCACAACCACACTGATGTAGTGGTCTAGGCACAGTCTACTGTGTCATGCTTTTTGGAATCTTTTGTTGATAGGCACCACTAAGGACGAGGAGCTCGCTATACCAGTCACACTTCACATCTACAATCCTAAATGGACAATTCAATGATGTCATGACTACAGTTAACAACTAAACCTGGTTATGCAGTAGCAATGCCCAGCCAGCTCTTAAGAGCGCTCCCAAATACGGAGGCTTTCACCAGTCACATTGTCTTCTCATAGTAGGAGGGTACTTCAAAAAGGTCATGACAAAACGAAATGACAATATGTTTATTCAGATACAAATAAAAGAGGAACATGTGCATAGTTTTTGCTTATTATGCATTTTAACAAACTTTTCAAAGACTCCTCATACTTTCAAGGATAGCAGAATGGAGGCTGTCTGTCAGAGGCTGGATGGTAAGCCAATGGCGTGTGAGGCTGTCCCACATGAAGTTCAAGGTTCATGTATGAAGACCTTCGTGAACATGCCAGGCATGAACATGTGTGTAATCCAGGGCTAGCTGAGAATAGGGGTGGCTTGCAGCATGAAGTCTTTGTTGGGCATATCTGTTTCTCTGTCCCTGTCTCCACAGCCCATGGAAAAAAGAAAGAATAACAAAGAGAATGGAAGCTATTTATAGGTCTATAAAATAATCTGCAGCAAGGAAAATGCAAACCTTTGTTCAGTGTCTTAAATATGTAAAAGGAGTGAGATACTGTTCTGAGTCTCTTCATAGCAGTTCTCCATTAAGAAATTACAGATTTCTGATAAACTGCGTTCTCTGAATATCCTCCACTTGATGTTCATGTCTCATGACATTTACCCAAAATACTTTTACTTTTTTTGTCATAGGGCATGTGTGCTTTCCAGAGAAAGACAGTGAGAGGAAAAGTGAGAAATCACCACCCAGGGAGATGGTCATTTCACAATTCCTTCTCCTCTCTTTTCCTCTTGAGATTGTGGGAACACAAGCACATGCACCCAACATGATTTTCAAGTTGCCAGGTTCAGGATTCAAACCACAGTCAGCCATGTTGGAGTACAACACCTTAACTACCATACCACCCACTGGCCCTGCCAAAATATATATGTTTTGCATTTATTACAATAAACTATGACTTTAAACATTTAGGTGACAAAATAATATATTCAACTCCCAACTCAATTCTCTTCAGCACTACTTTAGTGGCCACACTAATTTTGCATAAATAATGTACTAATTCTTTATACAAAATTATACATATTTTGGTCAACTTAGAGTATATGTTATTATCTGATTTTTTATTTCCCCCAGTGATATCGCAACTCTGTGGTCATGATATCATTAACATTATCAATAATAACGCTGGTATTCCGTATGATGAGCTTGAGGATTAGAAAGTTCGATTTAAGTTATGGAGCTTGGATTTATTTTCTTGGTGGAGAAGACATTTCCATTTCATGACTCACCTGCTTTCTATATGCTTCTCATGGATAAATAGCTCATAGGACTAAATCAGATGAGATAAAGTGTCTGGTAAAGAAAAGTTTTCCCCAACTAATCACTATTATTCCTTTTGTTCCAATATCATCTTCTTTGTCTCAGTGCAGTTTACATTTTAAGGTGTTGTCTGGCCCTCAAGGGCCTCATCTCAATCTTGTGCAATGACCAGGCTACTTTGATCTACAGGAGAACATCCTCCATATGTATCTTTGCTTCTCTATAGCATCTAAATAAGAAGAGACAGAGCGTGGCTTAGGAAGAATCCCTTAAATTTTGGTTTTGTGATTACAGAGCTTAAGACTCATCATCATTTCTCCTTCTCTCCATGTCATGTAAATAGAAAACAGACACAAGGATCACTAGCTAAATGTGACAAGATATTAAGTTTGCTAATGGCTAATCAGGTGCCCAAATGACCTACCAATACAGAGCTCCTGACTAAGGACGTTAGAGAATGCAGTTTAGAACTAAAACCTGATGAAAAGTTTATATTTTTATTTCAAACTAAGGAGAGCAGGGAGAGCTGGGTCAGCAAAACTAACTCTAATTATACAAAGCCACCCTGCCGAAAGAACTGGAGGGCTGCCTCACACATGGTTACCAGAGAGTGAGAGAGAAAGAGAGAAAGCTGGCAGGTCTCCTTCAGGGCACTTATCTCATGGGAACAGAAGGGATGCTCATTCCCCACATGTGTAAGTGGTTCCAAGTGGGCAGGACTGCGTGCCCAGCATGAGCACAGATCTGCCGCCCAGTGCTCACACCACCACTCGGCGTGTAGTCATGCTAACTGAGGGTCTCACTAATCCGAGTCAGCGGTCCCCCCGCCCCACCCTTTGGAGAAGATGGAGGGCGTAGACAGTGAGAAAATGGCAAAGTGCCATGTGAAGCTTAAATACATACTTCAGAACATGCCTTTCTGTAGTATAGTAGGTTTTTTCTTAGAAAATGTCAGAACTCCTTTATTTTCATCAGAGACAATGGAAGCAGGTAGAAAAATTTGGTTTGATTGGAAGCCAAAGGTAATGGAAGAGAATGGGTCGCTCAATTCTTGTAGCTTTGAAAGGATGACAATGAGGGTGGCAGGACTGGGACAGACAGTTGCTAAGGATAACATTGACGAAATGTCCCCAGACTCAGGCTTCCACAGGGCCTGGCAATTAAGGGTTAGTTAATGACACGATAATCCCCATCAGACAGTCAGTGACCCAGGTTTTTCCCATTTCCACCCTTGCCCCTGCCTTTTCAAGGACATGGAATATAATACTCTAAAAATGGCAAAAGAGAATTATCAAGTTACTTATAAAAGATACCCCACTAACATCAGTGTCAGCAGAAACAATGCAAGTAAGGAGAGAATGCAAAGACATATTAAAAATTTTGAAAGAAAATTATTTCAGTCAAGAATACTATACCCAGCAAGATTATCCTTCAAATTGGGAGAAGAAATAAAATCATTCCCAAATAAACAAAGACTACAAGAATTTGCTAGCACTAGATCAGTTCATCAAAAAATGCTTAAGGGAGTACTACCTCAGGGAAATGAAAGGGAGATGAATAAAAATAAGGAGACATAAAACAACTAAGAAAATTACCAACAAAATAGTGGGAGTAAGTCTACACATGTTGATAATAACGTGGAATGATAATGGATTGCATTCCCCAATTACAAAACACAGACTGACCGAATACACAAAAAAGAAAGGAAAGAAACAGAGGATCTTTCTACATGTTGCTTGTAAGAAACAAACCTCATCAATAAAGACATACATAATTGAAACTGAAATGGTGGAAAAAGTAATTTCAAGCAAATGGAACACTCCCACCCCCCAAAATATAAAGCAAACTGGAGTCATAATACTGATATCAGACAAAATAGACTTTCAACTAAAAACTATAAAAAGAGACAGAGAAAATCAATATATAGCAGTTACCAAAAAGATAAGACAACTATAATTTACACACCCAACATCAGTGCACCGAAATGTATAAAATAGAGATTGCTAGACCTAAAGAGGTACACTGCAACACACTGATTGTTAGAATAATATAAAAATCTGTTTTGTCCTAGAAATGCAGATGACTTATAGTTGTATGTCTTTTATCCAGCAAACACAATAATGTAATTCATTATTTTTTAAGGCATTTTTAGTATATTCACTTGAGTTTCTTATATGGCCATATTCTTAATTGGGGATGATATTGAAAATTGCTTATTTTCAATCCTTATAATATTGTTTCTCAATATCTTACTACAATGTTGAGACTTGAACCATGGTTGCCCATGTGGGAGTCCCACACCTTAACCACCATGCCACTTGCCAGTTCCTAGAATGAAAACTTTTATCATTAACTATAAAGGCTAGCCTATATTTAGAGGAGTTATCATCCTATTGGAGTTTTTCTAGCATCTTGTTTTGTGTGTTTGTTTTACCTTAGTTTTAGATACTTATTTTATTCATTCCTGACTTCTTTAGGATTGAGGTTTGTGTTTGTTTTGTAAATTTCATTCCTTTTGTCTTTCTGTATATTTGGAAGTTCAGTCATCTTTTTCAAATCTATTAGATTAGTGGCTATTTTAGATATATATTTTTTTATTTTAGATATTTTAACAACCTTAACTTTTAACATGTTTTTGAGTTTGAATTTTTTTTTTTTTTTTGGCCTTAGGATGTGTGTGCTCACTGGAGAGAGATAGAGACAGAGACACTGAGAGAGAAAGTGAGAAATTACCCCTCCCAGCGGGTTATCCATGCGTAGTACCTTCTCTTCCACTCTTACCCCGGGATCTTGGTCACACATGCACATGCACCCAACATGAATTTCAAGCCTTCGGGTCCGGGACTCGAACTGTGATTCGCCATGTGGCAGTCCAGCAAAGTAACTGCTAAGACATCAGCTGTCCCCAATAACTGTAAGTAAATTTAGTTCTGAAGAGCATAAGGACTTTAGTGACTATTTTAGCAAATTACCCCATAGTTATAGTACATTTTCTGAAAACTTAGCTCCTATCTTCCATCTCCACATACTATGCAGTTGTATTGTTTTACGTCATTGAAGTTTGCTTAGATTTATTCTTAATGTTTTCTTTTCTTATCATTTCTTTTTATATTTTAAGACTCTCAGGGTTATTTTCCCTTTTGAAATAGACCTTTAGAAATACCTTAAGCGATGGCTTGGTGGTAAATTCTCTCATTTTTTGTTTGTTTGAAACATGATTTTGTCTGCATTTTTGACAAGTTGGTTGGGTTTACAATTCTAAGTTGGCATCACTTTCTCCCACCGCCTCGAAGTTATTATTGTGACTTTATTGTATCGCCTTCTAGATACTATTTCTGCTCTTGAAAGTCAATATAATGTTCATTTCTTTGTGGCAGTGTATATATTTTTTTCTGGCAATGTTTAAAATCTTATTTTACATTCTAAAGGAATGTTTCAGAATAACTGGGTGTGGATTTTCAAAAGTTCACTATGATCTGGATTCACTATATTTCCTGATCTGTGGTTTAACATCATCATTTTAGGATAGTTCTAAGCCATTATTACTTCAAATATTTCAACTCTTTTTCTGTATTATTTCCTACTGGCTATCAGATCTACGGTCAGAAGTATTCTGTTCTTTGTATCTCTTAATCTCCTCAGACCTCTTTGCTGTGTTCTGGGTAATTATTAGATCTGCTTGGCTCAGTACTTTTCTCTTTACTTAAATCAAATTTGAACTTTAAAATGGCCATTGATGTTTACATTTCAAGTAGTCATTTATTTATGAAAAGCTTACTTGGTTCTTACAAGAAATACCTGGTCATTCTTAATTATATTTTGGTTAGTTTTGTATGTCTTGCTCATTCGCGTGTTTTAAGAACTGGTCCTACTGCTTGGATATGTAGTTTAGGGAACTCTATGACGTCTGGATTCAGAAAAAGCTTCTGTAGAAATCATTTGTGCTTTTTGTTACTAGAAGTGCGGGGGAATGAACAAGTCAGAACCAGGGTTAGCTTTCCAGCTTGGGAGTTTTTGGCAAATTAGGAAAGCATTTAGACCCAGTAATGGGTCTAGGCTGTTTTATGTATACACAAACTCGCTGAGGACTTTTCCCCCTTTCTATCATAACAATGGCAGAACGATATCATGACTCACATTCTCCTTTTCTAGGCGGGCATTCCTTAGTCCACCGTTTCCCTGAGTGTGTGGACATTTGGGGATCATGACTTTGTAGAGGTCTCTCTGTCGGCGTCCGCCCCAGGGCTTGGTGCTATTATGGAAGAAGCAGAAAAAATGAGACAAAGAGATAGAGTAGAAATGGACACAGGCAGCCCGAGCCTAGGTAGCCCAAGCAATTTGTGCCATCCAGACGAACTGGACGTCTTTATTTATAGTACAAGGAGACATTGCACATGTATGTTTCACGACACTTCATAGATTGGTTGCCAGGTTACAGACAATAAGAAGCAATTAACAAATCTATGAGGGTTTAGTCATACCTGGCCAGGTGTATCCCTTGGTGATAATCCCATCAAGAGAAAATCTCATCTTCTTTTCTAATGCAGAGAACTAGCTGTTAGGTGTGGGGAAGGAGCTAAAGAACTTCTCTATAAGGAGTGCACCACCCCACCCAGAGAAGGCTAAAGAACCTTTCAGATGCAGGGCAGGGACTGGACTTTACTAATTGGGGTCAAGATGTTTCTTGAAGTCCATCAGATGTGTCTGTTGGAACGCCCCTAGTCATTTTCGCCCTTGCTCTGTCTGCAGCCAAGGTCAGGGAAAGACAAGTTGCAAGGTTCTGCCAAACCCCAAAAGAGCAGGTGTGTTTGCTCAGAGCATGTTCCCACACCTCAGATTCTCTCTCTTAAATGTATCCCCACATCTCTCTTCCATCTCCCATTTTCACCAGGCTCAGGTTGCTCATTGTCTGCTGGTTTCACCTGTGTGACCAGTGGAGGCTGGAGTCCTGTGCTTGTGTGGTGTACCAGGATAACCCTGTGCTTCCTTATCACTTACCGTCCTGGATCTGCTTCTGTTTGGTGTATTCTAAGGATTCCTCCTATTCCTTGTAATGTTTGGTAGGTACTGAGAAGGTTATTTTTTAAATTTTTTTATTATTATTTATACATGTAATCACTATATATCATTTAGATTGTAAAGAGACTTTACCCAGCATGATATACACCTCACTCCAGCCCAGTTGAGAATACTATACATGTCGTCCTCAACAAATAGTAAGAGGGTTTCATGAGTATCTTTTTGTGTTTTTTTGGCTGGAGTGTTAGAGAATTTCTAGAATCTCATGTTGCTGAGAGGGGAAGGCAGCGCAATTGCCTCAATTTCAGCTGTGAAATATTGGCAGAGAGTATACACAGAATGCATGCCATAACGTTCATTCCGGTTGTTACGGGTTGGGTGCCGCCGTCTCCACTTCCTGACCACCATGATCTCATGTTGCATTAGAGGAAGAAAAGAGGTCTCTGAAGAAGAATAAATACATGAAAGAATGTTCCAAGTTCCTAAAAATCATACCGGGTGAGAAAAGTATCCTATTAAGTGTGGGACTGCCCGTCTTCCCTTGAAAGATGTCTCTGATTAATATGTCAATATAGACCTAAATTAGATGAACTTCCTGTGTGCAAGTTTTAAGCAGGAAGCAAATTCCATTTTGAGGAAACATACCTTATAGCACACCTGGACACTGATAAAAATGCCATGCAAGGGATTGAGGCACTTTTTCCTTTTCCTAAAAAAGCATCTGGAGAGTTGCTTTCTACAGACTCAATAGTTTTCCATCCTAATGAAACAACAACATGGATATCAAGATTTACCTGCATTTTATACCCCTCAAATCAATATAAAAAGATGAAGGTAAAAGTGTGCTGCTTCTTTGGAATGAGAATGAGCCATGTTTTACAGTATTGCCAATAAGATGAACCGAGGAGAAAATGCTGAGAGTTTTTATTTAGGAGCTCAGTTCTAAATGGAGTATGCATAAGATATCAAGTATTAAGATGCTCTGAAGTTATAAGAAAACCCTGTTGGAATGAGAGACAGAAAAGCCTTTTACTGTCAAGGAGACTGACTATTTCATACATGTTGCACCACTAAGAGTAGCACAATCTCCTTAGCACACACTTCTCCATCTTTAGCAAAAGGAAAGCTATTTAAACCTCATTTAAAAGTTGACTTAGTGACCTTCAAAGAGAGGAATAATAAATACACAAAAACGTATAGTCTCCTCTCCAGAAGAATGGCTAGACATTTTATGGAAAATACCCAAGGGAATAAATTTAATCTCTACTAGAATTTCTTTTTTTCTGTCAGATGTCTCATCCTACCTTATTTAAACACTTGAGCACTGTATGCAAGTTTTAAGGGGAGAACAAATTCTGTTCTTAGGAAGCAAAACTACCTCAGGTTACTCCTCGGTGGTTGACGCTGATTCTGGGCCCGGCATGTCTCATTTCCCCTCACCCTCATTTGTTTCTTTCACACTATTTAGGCAATGGCTTTGGAGTTTGCCAGAGCAAATAGCAAATTCAGGAAGTTAAAGCCAAATGAATTTTCTCAAAAGAAATTACATAATATCAGAAGGAAATCTATAATACCCTAGGGAATTTAAAAATCATGATTTATTTATCTGATAAATCCACGAGTGGGAAGAATAAGTAAGTGCATTAGAGAAAAATTAAATATACTTTATTTATTTACTGTATTTATTTTACTGGGGAAATAATTTTACTAAGGAAATAACCTTAATCAAGCTAGCAATGGCCACAGCTAAGAGCTATGAGCCCTATTTTTCCTCATTGTCTCCCTTCCTGGAGGTCGATTCTGGTCCTTGGTCACACTCACCTCTCCCCACTTCTGAGCACCTTGGGCCAGACTGGATGCAGCACTTACGTGATACCAGGATTAGCTTTGTGTGGCCTTTCTCTACCTCCTTTTTGTAGGGCCCTCTCTATCTCTCTCTCTCTTTTTTTTTTTTTTGGTTTTAAAATGTTTTTTTTTTTTTTTTAATAAGATTTAAGGTTGGTCCCCGTGCACTCTGAATTCATCTTCATAAATAGTCCTCTCATGAAACTCTGTGTATATTAGTTCACATGTGCCATTCATTTCTTGCTGGGACACTGACTAACATACATGCATTTCCTTCAAGCATTTCTGAAGGCCAGGAGTCCCTACTTCCCCTAGTTTCCTCTACAGTTAGTAATTGAGTACCTGCTGCATGCCAGGCACTGTTGCAGTAGACACGGGGACACTGCCATGAATGAGGCAGATGAAAACCTCCGACCGTATGACGCTTACGTTCTAGTTGAGGAGGGCAGTGAACAAAATAAGCATTCAAAATTCTATGGGTCATAGTTGGTGTTTTGAAGAAAAATAAAGCAGAGAAGGGGCAGCAATGTTGGAGGGAGTTGGAATTTAAAGTAGGGTGGTCAAGGAAGGCTGCACTGAGAATGTTACATTTAAACAAAGACTCGAAAGATCACGGAGCCAGCCATGAATTTTTCTTGAAAAGAGCAGGGAGCGTAGGAAATGCAGACGGCTCAAGACAAACAGGAGTCTGGGGTTTTCAAGGAGCCATGAGGAGCCAGAGTGGTGAAGTGGAACTAGTGGGTGGGAAAAGAGATGAAGAGGGTCGATCTGTGGGAACTGCATGGCCATGGGAAGCGCAGTGGTTTACTGAGTTTGAAAGAAACAAAGACACTCAGGTTCTGCAGTGACTCACATCTTAAAATTTGTTTCTGTGGAGCCAGCAGGTGCTATGCTGGTGGAGGTGCTAGATTCCCACGTGGCTGACTACGGTTCAAGTCCTGGACTTGGTAGCTTGAAAATCATGCCGGGCATATGTGCATGTCTGCCCAAAATTCCAGGAGAGGAGTAGAGGAGATGGGATTGTGGCATGGCCACCTCCCCTGAGGGTGATTTCTCACTATCCCCTCTCTGTCTCTGTCTCTCTCCAATGAGCATACGCTTGCATGTACCTTATTACAAAAAATCGTTTTATATTTGTTTTGTAGTATGTGTGCAGTGTGTGTGTGTGTGTGTGTGCACGTGCGCGTGTATTTTATGGTAGATTAAAGGGTAGGGCAAACAAATGTAAATAGCAATAATCTAGACAAATTATACCATTCCGTTCTTGCAATAGTAGAGTTGGAAAATGGCCCAGGCCAAACAGTGAGGCTGGACACAAAGTCGGTTGTCCAAAAAGGGTGATGAACTTTTGCTGCACATGCTTAAAAATGGAGAGGCAGAAGCTGAACCTAAGTGGTTAGATGTAGACTCTCTGGTCACTGTGCACATTCATGTGAACAAGGCACCCGAGATGCACCTTCGTAGGTACAGAGCTCATGGTCTGAGCAGCCCACACAGGAGCACCCCCGCCACATAGAAATGATCCTCACTAAAACGGAGCAAATTGGCCCTAAACTGGAAGAGGAAGGTTCACAGAAGAAAAAGATATCCCAGAAAAAAACTGAAGAAAAGTATGGCATGGGAGTAAAGTCAGCATCAAATAAATATAGATAAAAGTAAAAGTAAAAAATATATATATATAGCAATAATCCAGGCACACTAAAATGAAACTAGGACCAAATTAGTGCCAATGGAGTTGGTGGCAGCACCAGACAGCACAGGTTCACGTTATCTGAGAATCAACATGACTTCCTAGTGGGATTCATTCATTCAAAACATCTTCATTAAGTGTCTGCCATGAACTAGATATTATGCTAGATGCTTGGCATACAACAGAGAACAAAACAAAGATGATGCCAGCCTTATGGAATTTAAAATATAACAACGCCACACTGACAGTAAACATTGAAAAAACAGATGAAGTATACAGCAGGTTCAAGTTGTTACTCACTATCACTTTTTTTTTTTTTTTTAAGTCTAGCATCAAGGAGAGCAACAGGGATAAATTAAAGTTATAAATGGTCAGGATGTGCTTCACCGAGCAGATGGCATTTGGGCAAATATTTGAGGAAAGAGAGGAAGTCAGGCAAAAGTTACATGGAGGAAGAAGCCTCCAGGAAGAGAGTACAGCTGGATCAAAAGCCACAGGGCAGGTGCAGGCCTGGGGGTGGGAGGAGCCAGGAACAGGGTGGAGAGGTTGGTAGAACTAGTACAAGATGGGCATTAGGAGGGTAAGGCCCTCCGTGAGAGCGGTAACAGTTACAGACCATACAGGCCTTGCAAGCCATTGCAGGGCTTGGGCTTGTTCTCTGAGTGCAAGGAGAGACATTGCAGGGCTTGGGCTTGTTC